CCCTGCCCTCTTTCATCCACCTCGTGGGGGGGACGATCATCTTCCGTGCCGCAATATGTAACAACGACTCGTCACACTCTGCTTGCCGGCGCACAGGATAATTGCCCTCATTATAGTTATTTAAAAAGCGCGCACCGCGTGCGCGAACGCGCGCCGCCGCCTTCTCCTCCTCCTCCTCCGACGCGATTGAGCCGCCGATATAAAGACGCTGCCGAGCGCGAATTAATCGAGGGGGATGTTGGCCGGGAGGAAAAAAATATGCAGGCAGTCGCGCGACCGCGCGCGCTTCGTCAGTGGTAGCCGCTGATTTCTGCCTCCAAGAGACAAACATGTTCTGCTTCGGGAGCTTTGTATGAGAAGATGTAAGAAGTTGGACCGGGACGACACGCGAAAGATAAGAATTGCTCGGAATAACGGTCAACCCGTGGCGTTTAATCCATTTTCCGAGCTTTCTCCGCGAAGAGGATAATAATTAGACGTAGAGGATAATTCTCACATTTGCCTCACACAATTTTCACGTTCATACTCGCAATGATTCTCGTTAAACATGCAATTTCGCGAAGATAACGAGGGGAGGGCCGTTTCCAGAAGGAATGTTAAATAAGCTTTATCCCGGTTTAATAGACGAATATGATAAGCTGGCGAAATACTATCTTTACTGCGTGCCGCACTTTACGAGCGGCCGCGACGTCGTTATTTTTTAACGAAGAAGAGCCAAAGAGGAGGCAAGCATGCTCCTGATTTTCTGGTCTGGTTGGGATTATGGTGTTGCAGCATGCGGCGCACATTGCTATCTTGGATACAGAAGTGCCGGAATGCGCGTTTATTAGCGGTCGCGGACTTTAATGTAGCGGCGGCGGCGGCGAATCATCGGGCGTACTGTATTTGCACAGTAGGTACCGTTTTATATAACGGTAGGCAAGCTGGAAAAAAAACGACGGGGTGCGTGATAATTAAGTCAGCATCGTTAAGCTGACTATTTTTGCTTCTTTCTAAGTGCCAGATTAATTCTAAAATTAGAAATGAGGAAAATAAATTCAAACTTATGGCAATAATTAAGAAAAAATAGTGAAAAAATAACATAGGACTCATAATAATAATAAAAGTATTTATTTTTTCGTGACATCTTTAAAATCAGAGTCGATCATTTCGCATCGTTGGTAACCGCGCGGTTGCGATGCGCAACACATGTCCGATGATAAACGGCGGTGTCGAATTAAAGCGAGCGCGATAAATGCGATTATTTTTGGTACATTCGGGAACGATAAAAGCCACCGGTTCTGTGCTTTCTAAATATGTTTGCCGCTCATCGAGCAGCAGATTTATGTTTACCCGCGCGTTAAATGTATCGGATCGGTGATGGGAAATTCATATTTATTCGCGGCCGCGTATGTGCAATCTCGCCGCAACGAGCGCGCCGGAAACCGACAGTCAGAAACGCTAACTTGCACATCGGGATCCTATGTTTTTGTCAAGATTCTAGTCGGCAGCTATCTTTTACGTTTCAAATATAATTTTTATTATCGCGAGAAACTCTCTCCTGCCACTGCGATAGCATTTGATAATTGCTGTTTGATCAATTCGCGTTATATCGCCATTGAAATATTAAACCAGTCATCCATGTTAAGCACATTACCGTACCTTTAATTTCTCGCTATCTAAGATAGTTTCTTTAACGTATACTCGACTTTGATTCGCGCACTGATAAAGTTATATCGAAGTAATATTTTTACATCTAATCTGAAATGTGCAAAAGACGAAAGCGTCTTTGCGAATGAAGATCAAAATGCATCGCGAGTATTCTTACTCGACGGAATCGTGAGGACGATACCGTTTTGATAAACATTTCACGAGATACAAAGCGGCATTGCCCGAGATACAAACGTAAAAACCGCGTGTAGGAATACATACACGGCGTATATACGCCGTGGGCATTTGTTGATGATTTGAAACCACATTAGATTACGGCGGTCCGCTTTAACCAGACATTATCATCGTGAGAATTTTTCCATCTTCCTCGTATTTTTATACACGAGGTTTATATATATTTTTTTTTCATACGGCATTACTGTGTATAAATCTTAATATTAACGAGATTAAAAACTAGGATTAAAATTATTTTTATTAAGTTGTTAAAATTATATGTGTATTATGCCGATAATTTGAATCGCAATTTGATTTATCTATTTTTTTTATGTTTCCTCGTTCGATAAGTCGGTGAAAAGCCCTGTTATTCAATCTCTTAATAAGCCTATTATTTGACTCTCGGAATTCATGCCCAGGCGCGGATCCCCTAAAGCGCGTGCATTTGCATACACTTAAACCGTACGCAACCGCGTACGAACCGCATCTAGGAATCGTCCGCGGCGATTCCGACCGCAATCGAAGATACGAAGTTACAGATACCGTACGACGCGACTGCGGGGCACGCAGGTGGTAGATTTTCCGATCTGGTCCCCCGTGCCGCGCGCGCACGCGGCCGCGATCCGTTCGTCACCGGGGTACTTTTCGAGTGCGCGCGGCCGCGGGGCGCCCGGTCCGTCGATTGTTCACGACGCAGCACGCGCAGCAATGAAAGCTCGACGGCACGAGCGAAAAGCCTGTGAGGTAGACATAAATAAATAGGCGGTGGGTGTGGTTGGTTGGAGGCCGCACACATGGCGTCGTGACCCGTCGTCTCCGCTCGTGGCCAGCTCAAGTTGCGCCTCGCGGAATGCCGCTCCCGCCGCGCGCAAAACCGGGCCCTTTCGGTATCGCGGTTAAACGCAGTTTCATGTAGATTCCGGCTTCAAGCTGCGTTCTTCAATATTATCGACTCTTCGCGTTTGGGCTGAGATTCTGAAAAAAACGGAGAACATCTGATTTTTATTCGATAATAAATAAAAGTCGAAGAGCAAAAATTGTATAATTATTTAGCGTATTATAATTTATCCGCGTTTTACAAAATGTTACAACAGATAGATGAATAAAATTGCTTGCACACACGTTATACCGTTTCAACGGACTCCTACGACAAAGAATAAGCTTTTTTCGGATATTTACGAAGCGTATCGGGGTCAGATTGGGGCTCTATAGCAGCGATGAGCGAGGGTTGATCCGGAAATTCAGGAGGCTACAAGCACGTGCAATGCTGTTCATGACTTAACACGGTGCTTGGCTCCGGCCGCAGCGCTTCGGCTTTGGCGGTTGAGACTGTCGGTACACAATGCCGCATTGTTTCGTCGTTGTAGCCATCTAGTCGGTAGCCTGATGCCGAGAGCCGTTGTTTATTATTCTTCTTCGCGCAACAAAACAAAATATCCGCGTTATATTATCCGCGCTCTTCCTGCGAGTCCGTGGTCGAACCAATTTCCCATATAAAATCCGGCGGACCGATACTCCCGTCGTATTTTCAGGCGGTGCACGAAGCAACATGGGAGACGACGGCGTGCTTCGTGCAGGCCTCGTTGTAGAAAACTGATGCCTCGGAACAGATAAATAGATAGATAGAGATCTCTACATTGTTATATATATGCCATGTTTCACGAAACTAACAGTTACAATGCTAGATTGAGGAAAGAATATATTAGCGGTGTTATAAGTTGTTTCACAAAACTAACAGAGTTAGAATGCTGGTTGGGAAAAGAATATATTAGCGATATTACAGGCCGAAAAAAGAGACGTCTGAGGAAAAAGGTGGAGAAAGAAATGATCTAAATGCGCCGAATGGAGAGCTCGAATGCGAAGCGAGATATCGAGAGAGGCTTTATGCGACTCACATTTCACGCGTATTTTCCTTCGCGTCCTACATGCGAATCGAAAGAGGCCATCCATCCACCTCTCGTACGATGCCAAGTTTCCACTTTCATGGATGGCTGCCGTCCAGCACGCGCGCGCGCGCGCGTTACGATTTTATTTTCGTCGTCAGCAACGCGACTTGTATTTTGCGAACAATTATTACGTACAGTTTAGATGGAAAGTTTCCTTTCTCCGAAAGTGCCGGACGGGGCGAAGAACTGTCCGCGGATGGTGTTTCGTTATGCCAGCAGTGAAAGTCACGAGATTCGATCTCCGATCAGCCTTGGCACGATTAGATGCGAATCGAATTTTGTACGATGCGCGAATCTTCTTCTCTCCGTGGCGGCGGGACGTGCGGGCGAGAGAAAAACGGGACTGGAAGGAAACCGCGAAAGCCGCACAGGATATCGACGGGGGAGCCCTGCGCAGATAGCTTTCTTATTTCCATGAAAATAATGCGTTCGGCGATTTCGACGACAATGCCATTCCGGTGTTTTAAATGCAAATCCACAAAAGGAAAAACCGTAAAGGCATTATAATTTATATTACTACATGTGGCAGCGGCGCTTCCGGCGAAAGAGCATAGGCGCAGTTCCGGTCAGCCCCATGGGTTGGAGAGATCCTACATCGCCAGATTATGAGCCCACCGCCGCTTTTACAATGGATCGTCCGCCTCTGAGTCGTACGTCAGCAGGAATAATTCTGCGTTACTCGCTCTCGTCTTGCCGGCAAAATAATACAAACGATCGCCGAAGGCCGCGCGCGGCCGCGGTATAAATATGAAAAATATTTTTCTCCCATTGTGCGCGAGATTAATCATACTTGCGCCTTTATAGATATTATCTACAACTATCTCTTAATTTTAACGCAAGCTTTACACGTTTTTAGAAAAGAAAGGGAATAAATGTGTGTTGCATGATTAACTCACAATTATATTTATCGATTCTCTATGTTACATCAGTGTGAGAGAGAGAGAGAGAGAGAGAGAGAGAGAGAGAGAGAGAGAGAGAGAGAGAGAGAGAGAGAGAGAGAGAGAGAGAGAGAGAGAGAGAGAGAGAGAGAGAGAGAGAGAGAGAGAGAGAGAGAGAGAGAGAGAGAGAGAGAGAGAGAGAGAGAATGTTGGCAACAAACAGGTACAGGCAGTGCGAGGTTGTAACAGATAGCGGAAGGAAACAGGATTTTTCAATTCGCTCGGAGAGCCACGTTTATTACGTCCATGAGTGCTACTTTAAAAATTGACCGTTTTTAATGAACTCCACAATCGCCTGGACGGTACTCTGAAAGCGTCCAAAGTTTTCTCGGCCCTCCTCCGGGGATTTGGATTTGTAAATAGCGTTTGTGTACGCCGACGTCAATTCGGCTACTAATATTTGCGCCTTTTTCGCGGCCGCTTCGATCGATCCCGCGGGCGTCTTAATTTCCTCCGCGGTCCTCACAATCGCTTCTTGAATGATCTCGACGAGCTTTGCGTCGTCCTCCACATTCGATTTCCCGCCCGAAATCTTCTGCAGGATGTCCCTGATAGCCGCTGTATGCTCATCTTGTGATAAAACAAAACAATGAGTTTTTCTTTGAAAAAAGTCATAGAAGACAGAATTTTATTGCGCGTAGTTAGTAATAATTATTGAATTATGTTGTGATTTAATTAAATATTTTTCACCTGTGGATTGCGCGGACGTTTCTCTAATTAGCCTCTGGGATAGCGAGCCGGTGCTCGCCAGGAGGACGATCGCGACGATCGCGAACTTTGCCATCTTCGGAAATCGCATCGAGCAACGAACTGTCATTCGTTCGTTCAGTCGCTCTCTCTTTTTATACGAACGCACGTGCCCCGCGAGAACGAGCGCATCGGGTAGGGATCGACGTTATGTAAAATGTAATTTGTCATTCGCCGTGTATGCGGTGGCCATTATAAATGATTCTGATGAGTGTCATTAAAAAAGAAGACGCGCGAGAGAAAGTGGAGCGCTGCGAAACTCGGCACGTTTCGAGAAGGCATATTGTTTTAGTTTGATTTCTACTTGTTGACAACCGGAAGAAATTAGCTCAAGCAAAAGATAAACGTTGAGCAAAAGCTGTCTCTCAATCTTTTAAAATCTGTACGACTTTGACAAACATTAACTTTTGCGTTTTATGCGCAATGCGTTAAAAAAGTTTTAATTTTCATATGGTTCTTTCTAGAGAAAAGTAGAGAGTTTAGAAAAGAGAATACAATTGATCAAGAAATAATTGTTTTTAATTATACGTGTAATAAAATTTTAACTCGCAATAAATTCGAATTTTTTAACGATATTATTATTATATTTTAGTACAAGATGAGAATGAAATGGATAGAAATTTTATCGACGAAAATGACTGATTTATATTTTACATTTATTACACAACAATTCACGCAAAAAAAATTACGAAAGCGAATATTGCCGCGATCGGAAGAAACGATACTCAGCCGGAAACGGCCGGATGTTTCTTGTCGGCGAATTGCGGGTCGCGAGGCGAGTTTTTCCCAACCGGGCAGCAATCGTCGTGCGCGCCGCAGCAATTTTTCGTTACAATCGTTCTACGTACATCGTGATACACGCAATTCCTCTCGACACGACGACGCTCAACAGGTCGTCCGCGTTCTCCCCTCTTCGAAAAACGGCAGGGGCAATGCCGATACTGGCCGACGGTAAAAGTGCGTGAACACAGGGAGGGAGTGCATCCAGCCATGATTCCTCCTCACCGATTTTTACCCTCTTTCCTGCCCCCGCGCGCCCCGAGTTCTCTCCACTGCCACGACGTTACCTTGACGCGTCGCGTCAAATTAAAGGCTGCCGGAGTTGCCTTCCACCTGAGGGGCGATACGAATTTTCTGCCGCGATTTGCGTCGCGCCGCTCGCGTACCTACGCCAGGTGTTCCCCGAATAAAGTCGGAAAGTGAAAACGGGGGGATCTGAAAGATCTCTCGCGGTCAGCCCGTTCGGCATCTACGCGGCATGCTGGTCAATGACGTTTACGCGAACGACGCCGTTGCATGAGGGGACAGTCGCAAGGAGCGTCTGTACCTTAATGTGGGATGAATGAAAATACGGGTACTTGAGTAAGCTTAAATTACATTTCATTCATGCAGGAAAAGCAGACACGCGGGAATCGTCCTTCCGGCTCGGCGTTGCGCACGTATCGCCAAGACGGCGGACTCATACGTAATAACGGCGGCTGGACTATAATGTGTATTATCCCGACATCCTGTGGCGGCTTCTTGCGCATTTCTCTCTTGCGCCTAGATAGCCGGCCCTTGCCGCGTTACGACAGTGGTTACAATCGTAGGAGACGAGACGCTAATTTTTATGCGAACGTTCACTTTTCGCAGCGCAACACTTTCGTCCGTGTTTCCTTTTTCCTTTTATTCTTTATATACTTAATTCTCGGGGATTTACAACATTCGTATCGTGGACTTATAATTGTTACACACAAATACTGTGACCGTTCCGATGGCTTTGCGACCTGGAATCGGAGTAGTTGCGTAAGATCGCTCGCGAGAAACGTCGAATTTTCCCGGCGCGCACAAAGAGAGGCGTCCGTGGCGGAGACGTGAAGGCGAAATATCGATCGCGCGTACCATCGATCACGATCTTATCTGGCGCACGGACACGGGATTCAACGTCGGCCGGCAATGGGATGACGGGGAAACACGAGGGGCCTCGTATACATCGTGTAGACGGTACCGGTAACGTTCGCGCCGCGATAACCACGATCGCCGATCCACGATCACAATGGAAGGATCTCGAGACGCGGGGCGACGAAGGGAGATCTATCCCGCGCGCGAAGTGAGAGGAGGGAAGAGAAAACCGGAGCGACGAAGCAGGCACCGATCGACGAGATTCACGGACAGTCTTTATTCTCGTATCAGCGCCGGACAACGATGGAAGCGACGTGGGCCTATTATGCGATTCCGTATCGTGTGGGACACAATGATCGGTGCCGACGCGCCCGGAGATCCTCGCGGGATCGGCGAGAGACAACGCTTTCGTCGTCGAACCGGGCGTCGCTGAATGGAGGCCCCTGAACATGTTCATCTCGCGTACGGGGATTATGGCGAACGCCGAAGATCGACAGGGCCGATTACGTCCGCGCTGACTTTAAGCCGCTTTAAATGCTGCCATTCAATCCGGACGGGCAGCCTCCTGACCCCGCCGCTATACCGCGGTGCACCGATTTGGCGTTTCTCGCTGGTTCCTTTCTTGTCCTTTTTTTTCACACAATGCGCGCACCTTTCGCAGACGCGAAGAGAGCACGTACCCGGAAATCGTCGGCACGAATCACGAGTAATAATGCTACGAAATCGTGACTGAAATTTTTCGCACAGTTATTTTATGAAAGTTATTTATTCGATAATGATCTTTTTAATAATAGATCATTCTTGCGTTGGATGCTATGATGCTTTAGGCATTTGGAACTAGAGTTAGAAGAGGAATCCTTCTAGCGAGGGATCGTCCGGTTTAGAGAACGGGAAGCCGAGATTCGGTACGGCCTGTGGGGGTTCCGCTCGATCAGACCGTGCGATTCTCGCATGCGGGTCCGAGAGATCCGTGAAGAACAATTCCATGAAATTAATAAATCTATTCTCGGGAAGACCTCCTACAACGCGGGCGACTTTTTTCGGACGACGGGTCATTTCGCGAAACGCGGGCGATCCAATTAGGCGCGGCCGTCGAAAAAAGAATCGATACGGTCACGAGACGTTATCCGTTTACGCGCAACAAGATAAATTAGCACGCTTCTTTCGATGTCGATGAATTTTCAGACGAAACAAGACCCCGTCTCTTTCGCGGCGGCAACGCTCGATAAAAGTGGTAAACAAACTCGGAATCAGCGGGGCGCGAGTGAGAACGAGATTAAGAAGACGGCGTCCGTACCGAGACGGCGTGGCTTTACCACCCGTCGATCGATCTGTCGCCCGATTTCTCCTCGCGGCATTGAGTCACGGTGCTTTTTGCCGCGGCACATCGAGAGCAGGTGGCGGTTTCCCAGATGTAGAAATCCCCGCGGTTGTTCATTTCGCCGATGAACTACAACGGCATATCTAATCAAAAAATCACGACAAATTCGAAAAGGCAAAACATCCCGCGCTCGTTCACGCCGAACTCTTGCGAAATAATTGTCTAGCAATCGATGCTTTCCATCGATTGGCGTTAACTTTTTCATCGCGTGGCAGCAATGTAGCGAGGATTCGGCGCTTCGATTATCTTCCAATGTTTGCAGAATTACATTATTTACGCTACTATTTGCAATCCTGCAAACTTTCACCGATCTCGACACAGCTCCTACGTTTAATCTAAACTACATGTGCTTTGTAATATCTATCACATAATCATTTTACGTGTGAGGCATCCTATATCAAGATTACTATGTTCACGCGCGGCCTTTATCGCGCGAGATCTCTCTCTCTCTCCCTCTCTCCTTCTCTCGACAAGATAACTGCATGTAGACTCAAAGTGCTCGATGCAAGGCAGGCGGTCATTAAAACATTGCGCGTGACGTTTGGAGATGTAATCAGGGTGATCCGATGAAGGATGCACGGAGATGCACTCCAAGGAAATCCCGGTGCGGCGTTCGGGGAAAAAATCGATGTTCCGCTCGCGGGCAGGTGTCGTCGTCGGCGCGTCGGGTTAAGGAAGTTAAAGGAGTTACGCGCTGAGCACCGGCTCTTCGCCGCCCGAGGGCCTCGTTATCATGCTTTAATGACGGCGGGGCGTTTCAGTCGCAATGGATTACGGTACACGCCAGCCGGCAATATGAATGAATTAATAACCGACGTATAAGGTGCCGGCAAACTTGTCGAACTGACAATATGTTAATATAAAATTGCTTGACATTCACAAGTATTCTCAATTCTTTATAGCGCAATAATAAATCTGTATTTATCAGGAGAGTACAATTTCAATGGAACTCGTTAAATTCTGCGTGAGAGTGCAGGTACAACAATAGTTTTATAAATCATTTATGGCACTTGAGGTTAATAAAGAGTTCGGAGCTTACGGAGTCTCGTAGGTTTCACGAGGCACGGCATCGGTTTCGTATGACGGGCTACGCAGTATTCAGGACAGAAGGACAGTGTGGGAACAAGCGGGTTTACTCTGAAAAAAATAACGTCGTACGTTGCAGAAACGCGACAGTCTGCACGAGCGGACGGTGCATTGTGGTGTACATCATAGACAAAGCCTGGATTATTTTTCGCGGTGGCAAAGGAAGCGTGCCCGGCATTGTTGCCGACCGCGAGCAACAATAGTTCCTCCTCTTGCCTTCGTCCTCGTTCGTGTTACACTAGTTTGACTAGTCTTCTAGAAGAGCAACTCTCGCCGCCGACCCGAGGAACGAACGAACGGCTTCCGAGCGTCTATTACTACTATCGTCTATTAGTCCACCTGAATCCTTGTGTAAATCATGCCGGGAGAGAACGTCTTTATGAATGTTAAATAAAATCGAGTGACAGTTATCACATAATTATACAACGCGAATGTTTTTCCCCGGATATAGTTAACGGCATTTTCCAATCACGAAATTCCCAGCGCGTTAGTTACGTAATTGATGACGACGTTTCGTCTGACTCGTCATCGCAAAAAATATTCTTATTATTTATCGACAAAGTTAACTGTCCGTAATTACAACTTAGCGTCTTTGCTCTCATCGCGGAGCCGCGTTTTCCGAAACTAATCAAACCCCGACCGATTTACGCCGCGATTTAAATCGAATCAATTCTAATTACATTAAACGA